CTGTCGTGTTTCGTGTGTACAAAATATCTCAAAAGCAGCTGCACTGGTTTAAATGCCAGTTACAGGCTTTGTTAGGTATAACCCAAGGATGAAGTGATTAAATGTTGGTGACCAACCGGCGTATGGTTTGCGTATGACAACCACTCAAAGGAAAACGTCCCAGACCAGGTATTTAAAAAAATAATCAAATGATATGATAGAAACTTTCGTGAAAGGTTTAACCAAGTTACAAGGAAGAAATTGTGAAGTGTTAGTACGATTCAAATACGGTGGTGCATGTGAGGGCCATTATGACCCAGACCTAAATATCTCTTGATTGGATCAATGGTCGGTTGCCAATGACGCTTTTCAGAATAGTTGGTGTTTTAATAAAGAAGTGGTCACGATCCGACGTAGTGTGAATATGAGGTCCTTTTAAAAATACGTTTACCGTATTATCCATCGGCTGAAACAAGTATAGGCCTAATAATGATGGATATTTAATTTATTGCAATTACAGTAAAGGTGTACAGCGTTTTTTATGTACCAAATTCACTTTTTTCGAAACTTATTAGGAATATGTAATGAATCTTTACATTTTAACAGGGGACGCTAAAAATCAAATCTCCATTTCTATTTCCATTTCAACACCAATACATTTCTTGCATTTTGTTTGTAAAAGTAAAATCTGCTAGTATGTTAAATCAGAACATGTAAGGAATTGGCAGGTGTACAATTGATATAATTGAAGGCGTTCGAAAAATGAAGTGATTATACTTTGGTGTGGATAGATATGGACCCTACAAAGCAAAACGTCGCAGATCAGATATCTCAAAAACTAATCAACTCATCTAGTAAAACTTTCGTGTTAGTGTATCTTTATTAAAGTAAAGATTGGCAAGTTATTGTGCGTTTTTGAAGAGTGGTAGTGGTTGAAATAAATTAGGAACATTTTTTGGGAGGTTTATTTTATAGGAAGTTTTTTGCGGTGGGCGGAGATATGCTCTCTACTGATTGCTCTTATTATTATTATTATTATTATTATTATTATTATTATTATTATTATTATTATTAATATAATAATAATAATAATAATAATAATAATAATAATAATAATAATTATTATTATTATTATTATTATTATTATTATTATTATTATTATTATTATTGAAAAACATAAGCACAAGATTACAGAGAGCAAAGAGAATACTCAGTTGGCCGGACAGAATTGCCAAAAAGTGAACTGAATCACTGTCTCGCCATAGCCATAAGCCTGCGCAGTAAAGAAATTCGTAGTTAACTATTTAACTGCCTATGCAAATTTTCCATTGCAGTACTAGGCAGGCCTAGGCTGGCCTACACCAGTGGAACTTTTTCTGGGGCGGTAGGGGGAGGGGGAGGAGCCGCACTCTCACTTTAATAGTCATATTTGTGTTGAAATATGAAAGGGTACACTTTTTTTATAAGAACACATTTCATAAGAACACTGAGGATGAAATTGCTTAAAAGTTATGAACAAAATAAGAAAAAATTTAGGTGCAGGCATGTGTCGAACTGAGATTTTTTTTCTCAAATAGAAAAACAACAAATTTCATCTGTACCTTATGTGCAGTAGGCGTCATGTAATACTATATAATACCATTTTTATTACACAGTCGCGGCGCTACGGGTATGGGAAAGGGCAATGGGAATTTCCCCCAGAAAATGTTCTTACCGCCAGCTTCCCCCACCCCAAAAGAGAAGAAAAACCACAATTCGTCGGGGAGAAAAAAAATGTATTTTCTCATATAAGTAGACTATCTATCTATAAAATCGATTAAATAAGCGCGCCTCTGAAACCCCATTGTCATATTTTTCCCTGGATCACTTTCGAAACATTTTACTCGACGCTTGACCACGCCATTTTACTCTCGTCGGGGAGTTTTTTTTCTATTTTATTTAAAATCTGTAATGAAACCATCTCCTTGATACTTGCCAAGTATTCAAATCCCCCATTAAAGAGGAAGGCTGCATTTATACTTGACGGATCTTCCAGTGTAGTGTTTGATCAGGTGGAATTTATACACATTAACAACACTCTGTACGAACAAACAAATGAAAGACAAAAAACATAGGCCTAACTGAAGTTGGATTATAGGCGGAAAGACGATAATTTCGTGAGTTTTGACCAAAAAAAATAATTGGTTGGGCAATTGTTTTTATAATAGGAAGGGAAAAAATTATTTTTTACATGGCCTTACAGTGGGTCAAACCCTCCTTGGTCAAACCAAAGGAATCAATTCGTGACACTGAAATGTAATGTGCTGAAAATCAGCTAAAGCTTCGGGAAATAACGACAGTTATGTCTTTATTTTTCAATTAAAACTGAAATATGGAATTAAATTCACTTCGTGAGCTGGAGGCTTTGATGATCTATGTTGTTATAGTTTTTGAGACAGGTATGCTTCGTATCCCCGACGTTATCTGACGCAATGGTTTACATCACTTTGATTTTAGGCTTTGAAATAAGCATAATTATAATATAGATTACTATTAATATTACTATTATTATTATTAATATTATTATTATTATTATTATTATTTATTATTATTATTATATTTTAGTAGAATCATCATCCTCATCATTGGTACACATATCAAAAGCAATTTTAACACAAAAGAATTAAATTCACTTCGTGAGCTAAAAACTTTAATGATCCATGTTGTGACAGTTTTTCAGACCGCCGGGTAAGTTTCGAATCCCCGGTTATCTGACGCACATCACTGTGATTTTAGGCTTTGAAATAAGCGATATTAATTATAATATAGATTAATATAAATATTACTATTTCTATTACTTTTTCAGGCGCGGATCCAGACCTTCATCCAGTTCGCCCAGGCGAAGGTCAGCCTAAGTGAAAAAAAAAAAAATTTGACTCCATTTTTACAACATTTATACTTACTTTCATTGACTCTTATTTTGAACATTACCATTAGCACATTGTTTAAATCCACTGCAGCCTATATCTTACACTTTTACACTGATTGTAATGTAGGCCCTTTTAAAGAGAGATACATTTCCATTACAATATGTTCTTCCATTTCTATAGCGCATTATACAGTACGTGACAAACGTTACGTAACCACTACTAACTCGGAGTCGCTCAGCTCAGTCGTACGTGTGTATATCTTGCCATTGACACTGTGCTTTTTTTTAAATTTTTTTTTAGCATTGCTTCAAAGCAAAACAACCTAGGCCTATCAGACATTCACATGAACACTAAACGAATGAAAGTATATTTCTATTAACTTTTGTTTTCTCGGCGGCCAACCGGCCCCCAACCTCCGTGCTCGCGAGCAAAGCGAGCAATGAAGTTGGGGCCAGCGTGCTGCCGAGGGCTCCCGTGAAAAAACTTGCTATTTTTCCATTGTATACACCAATTTTAAAGATGTTCTGTAGTACCGTAGTAAACTAATACACAGTTTAAAAAAAAACATTTTTTAAATAAAAATAATTATGTTTTTTTTTAAATCTAACATCAGAGCTATGATGTAGCAAAACAATAAAAAACTTTGAATTCAAAACAGGCAGGTTTATTTAAGAGAAAGCTTGTTATTCATAGCATTGTTGTTATTTTACTATTTTGCCTTTTGACATTGACAAAAATCCAAGATTAGACCTATGAACGAAAAATAATGTTTCTATGGTCGCTTTCAATCAATACATACAGACGTGGATTCAGACCTTCGCACCGTTCGCCATGAGAAGTTTAGGGTGAGAAATTTTATTATATTTTGTTATTTTAAAATCACAAAAAAAAAACATTATGCATATTTAAATAATTTCCTAGTGAAAAGTAAAATCACACCTATCATGTTTGGTTTTGGTCAGTTGTTGAAATAATTGCATTATTCTGCTTCCTTCAAGAATAAGTTGTATTATGACCAAGTTTTTATAATATGAAGAGTGGGCTTCCTGTAGCCATTAATAAAATTTAAATTTTAAAAAAATGGTTCGGGTGGTAATCAAACCCATGACTCCAGGTTATCTAGCCAAATAAAAACCACTACAAATGCTATTAGTGAGTTTGCCTCAGGAAATATCATAGGAGTGATTATTTTCCCCCCTGTCATGTTATCGTACCGAATACCCAGTACGTCCCCAAATACTAGCCATTAATACAATTTAAATAAAAAAAATAGGGTGGGAATCGAACTCACGACCTCCAGGTTATCAAGCGAGATGAAAACCACTACAATTGCTATTAAGATGTGAGTTTGCCTCAGGAAATATCATAGGAGTGATTATTTCCCCTACCTGTCGTGTTATCGTACCAAATACTCAGTACGTCCCCAAATACTAGCCAATAATAAAATGATTAAAAAAAATGTTTCGTGTGGGAATTGAACCCATGACCGCCAGGTTATCTAGCTGTTGTTTCAGCCGACCCAAATTTGACGAAATTAAGGGTCGGCATTTTAGCTTTTATTTATTTATTTTTTGTTTGAAAAGGATTTTTGGATGAAACAAATTTTATTAATCTGGTAATCAAATTTGTTGGATTTCAATTTAAGACCAATTTGTTTTTCTTGTGAGACCAGTTTGGGATATTTTTCTTCTTAGGACAAAATTATGCTAAATTATGCTAAAATTTTCCAAAATTATGCCAGCACATATGCTAGATGCCAAACGAGTCTAAATTATGCCAAAAAGCATAATTAATTATGCTAGGTCTGGTCACTATGCTCTGCGCTCTGTTGATGTACCCCTATCAGCGAAAGGTTGCAAGTCTTCAGACGCTTCTAGGCTAGAGCAAGAACCAAGAGCGAGAAATAGCCTCTTAAAAATATATATAGACAGTAAAAATGTGCATGTCACATAGTTTTCACTTTCTTGCTAATGAGAAATTTCGATTCTGATCGTTCTCAAATTAGGGAAAATATTCTTGAACTACTGGCAACAATTCATGGACGATGCGCCGTTCTCGTCGTTGTCGTCGATCGTCCACAGAAAGCGGGTGGTGGTAAATTTCAGCAAATTTAAGCAACACGAAAGCATTCGTGGACTTGGTGTGGGTGAGAGTGGTTCAGGATAAGGAGTGGGACGGAAATACCTATACGTTCTTCTTCTTCATGTTAACAGGTTTATATTACTGGAATTCTGACTTATGGAATATTTGGATTGTGAGTGTTTTTATAATTTTCATTTAATTGTGATAATGTCATCTATTTTTTTTTCGAAATGAAAGGCCGCTCTTCTCGCCCTGTTTTCTACTCTAGGCCTAGGCCTAGGCCTAGTTAGGCTAGCTAGGCTGGGCCTAGGCCGTCAGGCCTCACTAGGGTCGGGTGGGCCTAGGTAATGTCTTATTAGCTTAGAGCCTAGACCCTTAGCCTAATTTCTAGAGACCAGCCGAGCAACAAGGCCTACCTTTTTTAGGGTAGGTATACTTACTTACTTGGTTTAGGCCTACTTTGGATTTGGAGCTTAAAAAATATCATGTTTCCTTCAACCCAAGATTCTGGTTCCTGGACGAATTACGGATAGGGCCTAGCCTAGGCCTAGATAGAAACGGTTTTGATGCACACACCATGTATTCTCCAGGATCCTCTTAAATTGATTAAGGACAGTGGTAGACTATTCCAATCGTCTACCATTAATATAATAAGGAAGCTTAGTTTTACAGCCTAGATAGGTCTAGCCTACTAGTTTAGCTTGGCCAGCCCTGAGCTGGGAAGGTAGGCCTAGTCTGACCCTAGCCTACTCTACTACTGTACTGTACTCTAGGCCTTGAGTACAGTAGTAGGGCCTCCCTTCCTGGCCTACTGTACGCTTACAGTAGGCCTATTGTCGTTGACGGATACTAATAATATACATCTGCCAGACTGAATTAGTACATGTAATAAAGCCTGGGAATATATTTCGTCCGCGCAAAAATTTGGCCTAAAAATTCCTTCACGCATTTAGGAAAATAAGGGCAGATTTTGCCGAAAATTAGGCTTTTAACAAATCTTAATATATAACTATGCAACAATTACGATTCCACACACCTATTTTCCTAGCGAAATTTGGGCATATTTTTTAGATATCCTCTGCGCAATTAAAAACTTTACAGTTGGTACACCTGCCACCTCTCGCTCATATTACTGTACAGTACTGTTTGAAAGTTTCTTGCAGAAGCATCCACTTTTTACACCTTAAACCTATTGTCGGCCCACGTTGTATTATCTTGCAAATCTTTATAAAATGTATGGATGATTATACCCTAAAATTGTTTGGAAATTCTGTAATTTTAAGATTAATGATTGTAAAGGTAAAGGTAGGGGATTAATCCATAACTCGCAGCATCATTGTTCTGGATTAGTTACACCTCCTCAGACGGAGAATATCACTGTATGTACACAACGGTCCAACTATACTGTAGTTTGTTACTGGTACCTGGATAGGGTTACTGAACTACAGTAGGGCATAAGGTAGCGTAAGCCGAGCTTAGTGGCTAGCATTATCAGGCTTCTTATTTGTACAGTACACTTGCATAATACCATGAGATACCAAGTGATAAATTTACAAGATAATCCTTGTTCAAATTAGGTTGAAACCAATTGTAACTTACTGTAGTATCAGGCCATCTATCATCTTGAATAATGTATTCAATAGAATAATTTAGTAGGCCATGGAGATTCTAATAAATGTTCAAAATGTTAATTAATTATTTGATTGGCATACTGAAAGGTATTCCTGGTTTACAGTCTTAGTTTTATTGTGTAACATAGTACTCTGCACTCTATGAGTGCTTCAACTGTTTGAACTTAGTTTCGAAAACCGACTGTTCTATTTATTCGTGGGGTGCACTATTTTGTGAGAGACAGACATTTAGTCAGTTTAATCAGGTACAGTAGGTATCTCTCTCATTGGTTATCAACATCACTACTAGTTTATGGATTTTTACAATACAATATCTTTTTATTTATCAATTCATCAAAACTTCTACTGTACTTTATACTTTTGTCCCTACAGTAGTTCCTTGTTTATATTTTGTTCTATTTATTATGAAAGTAAAGGAAAAAATAAATGCTGTTCTGATTGTTGTTTCCGATAAGATACTTTACTTTAGGATTTAAATACATTTTTTGATTAAATGTTCACAGGTACGTACTATCCTTGGGAATTCAGTTGAGATGGCTGTAATGCGACGGAGACGGTATATCATGAAAACAGTCTTGATATTTCTAGGAATTGTGTTATGTTTTCTGTATATTTCTTCTACTTCTCGGCCAGCGGGAATTGGGGAAGACAATAGCAAATTTTACAAAGAAAGACGCTCAGACAATGTTAAACATAATGGACAACCTATACCAAATGAACAAAACATTCGAACTGTAGCAAGAAACATTCTACTACCAGAGCATGTAAACAATTCAATTCCAAATAAACTTTCCTTAGATAAAAATCAAGAGATTTTAAATGTTGTTCAAAAAACAAATAACTCTTTAATTAATTCAGAACAAGATGCTCTTAAAAACAATTCCAAACATACATTGAAACAGACTATTTTAGAAGTCAATCGTAAGCAGGAAATACGCAATCTAGGAAGATTTCCAACGAGGCCTGCAAATGCCCCTGTTTTAGTTGTAATGGTTCATAAACGTTTAGAATATTTACGCTTTCTGATTGATTCTTTTCGAGAAGCGAAGGATATAAGTGAAACACTACTAATCTTCAGCCATGATTTTTATTCCGAAGATATCAATGCATTGATTAAACAAATTGATTTTTGTCAGGTAAGTAGTTTATTTTCTTTTAATCTCATCAATAATTTATGTGAGAATGATAATACAGGGCCTGTAGTGATGTGATGTAAAATGTATTGTTAAATGGATCTCTGTGTATGGCACTTTATTTATAGTGAAGTCTCAAAGTGCTGGAGGTATGAACTAATTCAAACAGTAACATCTTCTACCTTGAGGGTCACTACTTCCTGTCTGGCCTAACCAGTATTTACCAATACAGTACCAGCTACTTTTGACTTTCCACAACAGTGGGTACAGTATGGACCTCATTACACCAAGGTGACCCCTACAGTATAGAATACTCATCTCAAAAATGTACTACAGTTTACTGTATGTTCTTTGAAATGCACATGAGCCAAATTTGTAAACTGGGCCTACAGTACAGTTTATAGTTTTTATCCGAGAAAACTTGTTCTACCACCAGAACCATGCTGTAGGCAAGCGTGCCATTCATACCAGTGCCGATATTATGGTTGTACTATACGTTGTGGCGCTCCCTGTACTGCCTTAACCCTCTTGGCCATTCGACTTGATGGACAATAAACCTTAACAATAAAATTTAAGGTTGAACCAAAATCTTAATTCTGATTGGATGTTTTTCTAGGTTAGAACAATAAAATCAGAAAAAATTGGTTTAAGGCTGGTGTAACATATGTGATGTCTCACCACGAAATGAGACACATCGTTGGTGAAATCATATTGAGATATTCACCAAAATAGGTCAAAGGCAACATTTTTACAAAATTTTGATTTTATGTTTTTGAATAACTTGACACTTATATTTTATGATTGTGTACTTTTTATTAGTGAATTTTCTTACTAAAACAGTGTTCTCTTCGCATATTCTGTAATTCTAGTCCTATTATTTGTACAGGTTAGTTTATCTTTGAGGCCGATTTTCTCAAAACCTGGTTCTCATACACCTACAGTAAACTTTAAATACTAACATCTCTGGATCTATTTATCCTAAGGAGGCCATTCAAATTAAAGCTTATAATGTGATCTACCAAAATGTATTAACTCATTTTTTGATTTTCTAATGATGAGACTCATTTTGTAGTGAGACCTCACATATAGCCACTGCCTAAAATTTTATATGTAGGCTTTCAATTAATAGTTTGACAATTACTGAAATACCATCTATTTCGAAGTTAATAACAATTGATTTTATGGCAATTCAGTGTTTTAATTAAATTTGTAATATGCAGATATCTGGTTTTACCACAAAGGTCTTTAAAAGTACACAAGGAAGTATCAAAATCGTAAATTCTTTTTACAGTATTATCCTGAGAAATACAGACTGTAAACAGTGGTCTTCTGAATTGTGTTTATAAAGTGCTTTGTGAAATAATATGTTAATACAGTAATAAGTCCCTTTTGTATTATTGCAATCAAATTTCCAATAACATTGTTTGTATTTCAAAGTTTACTAGTATTGTCAAATTTGTCTAATAAGGTTAATTTACACACACAGTGGCACATGGCTGTTACAGAATAATTTTTCACACAGTACTCTCCATTACGCAGCATATTCAACTACAGGTACTTAGGACAAATGTTAAATTGCAATAAGCAACGATTGTGACGCGCCAACATTGCTGGTTTGTTTTATTGCATGATTAGTGAAGAATAACCAGAATTTCTGGTTGGGCAGGATATTTTTTTTGTTGCTTGACAGTTTTTGGGAAATAGAAATTGATTTTATTTTTATGCTAAGCGACACGTTGCTCTGTCGCGTACTGTAGTCTTGTCACCCTCAGTATGGATCACTACACAGTGTATGTGATTGTATAATTTTATTTAGTCTGTCATCATGCTCTGTAAATCAAGATTAATACCATGTGTCATAAAATGAAGATAAACCTTAATAATTGAATTAATAAAACCTTGAATATCTCATTATAAGGATCGAAAAATGTTAAATCTTTCAATGAACATGATAATGTTTTCACTGATCTACAGACTGTCTGAGGCTTGCCATCCCAAAACGAGTGTACTGTCGTTAATTAACATCTCAACGAGATTTGATTGACAGATAAACCGACTAATCAGCGAGTGTCATTTAGTCACGTGATCAAAAACTTTTTCTCGGACATTTTAATTTTCTTAGACAGCTGGTTTAAACGCAAAACATACGTGAGCCTAGGCCTAGATGTCTATGCTTGGTTATACTGTACCTGTAGATACCCAGATTTACATGAGCAGTGCGCATCAGTGACTTGGTCTTTGCCGACAACAAGGTTGACTGAATGCGGCTTTTCCCTCTTTCTTTGGGAGTGAAATACAGAGGCTTTTACAACAATTTCCCCGCCATGTTCCATGAAATAGATTAACACTATGAATATATGATTCATTTGCATACCGCCTACCCTGAATTTTCTTTCTTAAAGAAGGTTGATAGCAAAGAAAATCTTTGCCAACTCGGTAAGTCTAGCCGCCATTGTCTATAGGTTTTCGTGACTTTGTGGGCGGGGCTTCGCGTCCTTGTCGACATGTCAATTGTTGAACTGAGTATAGCAAATGTGGCAGTATTGTACGCCCATACAGTACTTTCGTACAGCATAACTTTGGCAATAGTACTCTACTTGTCGATTCCAGTAAAATGACCCATCATTTTAAAGCTTAGTAGAGAATACTGTTAAAGAATATATAAAAAGTCAATTTTAATTTTTTTAGTCACTTTTCCTGGTTTTGGGATGGCAAGCCTCATTTTATTTTTGAAAATCCTTAAATTGATTAAATGCCAATTTTTTAATCTATGCAAAAGCGCAGGAGAAATCTTGTGTAATGTTTTGCATAGTGAAGTACTGTACAGTAGCAATAAGTCTGTATCAGGGTCAATCAAACAAACACTCAACATATTTTTATGTCAGTTGACCTTGGATATGGGCATGCGCAGTTCAAATGAAACCACAAGTTGCTTTAAAATACTGCTGTACACCATGCAGATAGTGTACAGTATGTGGTGTTGTGCCACAGCAGAACAGTTGATAATAAATTAATGAAGGATTGCTGTACTGTACACCTTGAGATACAGTAGTCTACCTGGTATACCGCAAGCATTTATTATGGAGCTACAGTAGTTCGATTGTGCGATGCGGTAGGGATATAAGACGTACAATAATGGTGTAAATAAGAAGTCTGCATCTCGATACATAAATGAGTCGGCAGTTTCAACCAAGGTCGTACTTTCGCCAACTGTAGTGTTATTTTCAGTCACACACAGATCTTTTTGTTTGCAAGAAGCCATCTGCGCATGCAAGTACTTAAAGTTATCCTCGTCGTGTGGATACTAGGATGCACTTTGGTTGAATGTACGTTGTGCAGGTACAGTCACGTATGGGTTAATCCATTGTAGCATCGTCACGCAAATCCTATTATTATTTATAGCCTGAACTAATTTGATCATCTTGTGTCTGATATTTATTTAATTGTTATTGCTTTCAATATTATTATTATATTATTGTTATTATTACTCACAAAAAGGCTGCCTTCGGTGGCCTTTAGCGAGGCTGTGAGGTACTGGTGTGGGTCCAGATATTTGCAGGAGGGGGTGCAGAAAGAGAACTCCTGTATAAATAACATAAGTTTAAATGAATTAGGGGAACTGTCTTCTGTCTAGTTATTCTCCCATCTTTCAAGAGACTACTGTAAAGCCAACAATAATATTAACCTTAATTGTTCTCAGAAATGACCCCACTTCTAAAGAAAAAAAGCTGCTTACTATTTACTTAACATCTGTACATTTGTTCACCAGCTAAAATTAAAAAGCACTTTAACATGTTAATGGTGGAGGACACAGGTGTAGGCCAATCATTTAAATAATAATTTTGTGAAGCCCAGTTGACTAAATGCTGCAAGTAGTATCAACGCATAATATTGAATACTACATTTTTAGCTATAATTTTAGAAAGACCTTTAAATAAAAGTCAAATTACCTTTAAATAAAGACAACATGAGCCAATACTAATTTTGTTTATAATGTTAAAGCAGGTAAGATACTGTAGGCATACTGGTAAAGAATAGTAAAAAGTGGATAAAATACATGCTGAAATGTGATGGATGTAAACATTCCTTATTGGTCATGTATTGATTTTTATTCCATTATTTACAGTAGGACGCGTACTGTACTGTACGTACTGTATCAGCAGCAATCACTACTGTAAGTGGTATGTTCCACTTACTGTACCTATACTGTGCTACTTCTTTCACTGTACTGTACTAACGAAATTTGAATAATGAATTCTCACATGTGTTGCTTTTGTAGCGTGACAAGTCCTCGTCCAATATTTTGTGGACTTGTGTTAAATTGTAAAATTTTTTTTTTTTTACAATATTTTAATGGGCATAAATATGAACTCAAAATATCCAAAAGACATTTAAAAGAATGGTGCTACGATATATTTCTTCCAGAGCTGTGCACATATCTGGACAGTAAATCGGCACAAACATTAGTATATGATTATAGTAATGTAATTGTAGAGTATGCTCTAGTTGACACGTGTTCGTTAGGATTTCCCATGAAAGTGATATTTTTTTCGCCTTTGGATTCCTCCGGGTGAGCATGTGGCTTTACAGTTACCTCTTTCATGTAATGAAGTTTTATTATTTAATGGCATTGGCAGACATCTGTGAATTAACAAAAATAATATTCTATTGATCATCTTAATTTTAGATTGAAAGCTAATTATTTAGCCTACTTTAATTATGTAAACTAAAGAATTCAAATTGAAATGTGTACAGTATAGGTATAGCATCACACAGCCACCATCTTTAAAGGTTAAAGGTTAAAATGTAAATAACAATTCACATTTCATTTTCAGTTGATGTATATTCTTTGTAAAAGAGTTTAAAAATACACTAACTGTACATCTTGGTAACCATTCACCTTCAAGTAGCAGTAGTGGCACATACTTTCAAAGGTGAAAGTTCCTTATAGTAATTAATATCCAGTTGGTGTTTTTAACAGGTGGAGTTTCTAGCACACAAATGATTGTTGTGTTTGTTTTAATAGTTAATGTTTGATAATTGGGATAATTACAGACTTACTGTATAGAGCATTGATCATGTGCCATTTATTTAATTATAATTCCAAGGTACAGTGGTACAGTTACTGTAGTTCCACGATATTTTATGTTTGTAAGCCCACTTTATGCCCAAATATATGGCACAGCATTTTCCTAGAAAAATACTATGCTACAGTATGATGTGTGAGTTGCTCATCTGACAAATATTCTGAGCTTATGTTGGAAATATTTTTATTCAAATTTATTAGATACTTGTACAATTGTATTAAGATCAATTTGGTCTCCCCACCTCAAGGTCCGGATTTCAATTAATAAACAAGATATTTATTCATTACAGTTTATTTTAGTGCCGTTTCAAATACAACTGCTTTCTCCTAGGGTGTAATGTCCACATGTTTATTTGTTAGTTACCGTAATCGAAACAGGAGCAGGCAACCCCACCAGGTACCCATTTATGTTGTACTTTTGAGTGGAGAGAAGAAAGCGAAATGACCTTGAAGGATAAACCATGGCCTTCAGGTTTTAAATCAAAACTGTTCCCGCTGTGCCAAGCCGTTTCTGCATACAGTTGTACAGTAGTTCTATAGCGGAATCTGAATAAAATAACCCTGGTATTCTTAAAACAAACTTTAGTCGTAGTTCAAGCTAAAACTTAAAAATTATGTCATTTCGTGTTCTTAAAACAAGCTTCGACTAGCACTAGACTAAATGACGCGAACCTCCACTAAAATGATAACTGTACCTCCGCAGGCCGAACCATTTACCCGGTGGCACTAAAAACGTCATGATAAAGTAAAACGAATAAAAACGATTGTATACGCAGGTTTGATGATATATCTTCGGTGGGACTTGATTTATTCGTCGTTAAAACTTTGACTACTGTACGTTGTTTGTGAATACTGTACAAGTTGAAGTTGCAACTAGCACTAAATGAAGTTCTAGTTCGAAGTTCAACTAAAGTTTGTTTTAAGAATACGGGTGTCAGACATACTGTTTCATATTGGTATATTGACAATTGCTACTTCAAACTGTTATCAATGAATAATTTGAATTTGGATTTTATTGTTTAAATTTTATTGTAATGCAAAATGATTAGCTTTCAGTACAGTACTGTATGATGAATTTTAACTTTCCATAATTTTATTTCTCTGTATCTTGTTCATAAATTGTATTTTTGTCTATTTTGTTATAACATGCAGTTGAACATGCTTTTAATTTAATTTGTGCAGTTATATAAATTAATATTAAATTATTTAAAATTTTTTTTATAACCATGTGAAGAGTCAGCAGGTCTCTGCTCTGAGTAATTCTTTCAGATTACAGCTGTTAAATTATGCACTATAAACTATACTGTATGAAGGAACACAAACATGATACATAATTACCGACACTTAAATTGGCCCATTATATTTTAAGTCTTGAATATCTTTTTCCAAATTATTGTTTCCTGCAAAGTATGCGTGGCTATCATGAATGAAACGAAAATTAGAATTCGATTGAAGTAATGTTCAGTGAATAGCAGTTTGTGAATGGAAAGGTAATGAGAGCTCTTTGATGTACAGTAGAATTGCATTCTTCTATTCATCACAGAACAGTATTTGTTTATAAAAAGCAGTTGTAGTTCGCAAGTTTGAAATCAATACTGACGGGTTTGGATGGTGTTTCATTTAATAAAAAACAACTTTTAACCTAAAATTGGAAAATTTTGAAATCATGATGTTTTTATAATGCTCTATAATCGCACTCAAAGTTGGAATGGGACCTGCTCACTGAAATTCATAATTGTCACAAATATGTTCCAAAAGATGGTATAGTAATTTTATATTAATAAATATATAATTTATTTCATTATTCTCTCAAACATTTTTATTATTTTTTTTTTTCAGACAATGCAGATATTTTACCCCTATTTACTTCAAATTTATGAAAATGAGTTCCCTGGAGTAGACCCAAACGACTGTCCACGAAATGTGGATAGAAAAAAGTAAGTTCTTGATTATTATTTAAAAAGTGTATAAATTTAAAAACAAGTGATACACTGTACAGTATTTGCTGTTATTTTTATTGTTGTACTGTACTTTAGTTGTTGCTATTGTTACATTTTTTATTTTTTTGTTATTATTTTATTAGTTATCAAGTTCTAATTTTACTGAAAATGGTTGTTATTAGAATTCTACTGTTGTATGAGCCTGTGAACAGGTTTATCGCAATATTGCATTGGCGTAACCATTGCTGTTGGATTCAACTTTTATAGTTTATTTTACATTTAAGAAAATGTGTTCTTTCTGCAAGACTAATTTACAATAGAACAAAATAGGTAATAATATTACTTGGTTGGTTGGAGTGAGCACTGACACACCCAACACTGATTCCTTAGTCAAATGCGTATTTGTTTAGCGAATATACTGTACAGCGCAATACTGTACTTATTCAACAGGCTACCTGCAAGCTGTGTACTGCGAAATGAGAGAGAAAGGTAAACTCAGGAATGGTAGTGTTAAAGCATTACAAAGTCCTATCCATACTATTAAATGTTATTTGACAAAAACATGTGAGAGCAGCTTAGCTTAGTCGGCTAATCTGGTAGTAGCCACTGTGTGTGCGCTGAACCGTGGTGATCTCTAGGTCCCCGGTTCAATTCCCATCGCTGCCTCCTTGTGTTTCAGCTAGAAGGCTGAAATACAAGTTAAAATAGCGCACCGTCTTTCAGATAACACGTTTAAGCCATTAGTCCTGTGTGCATATTTAGGGACCGTGTGCACGTTTAAAGAACGCAGTACACTCTTCGGAAAAGAGTAGGGGATTGTCTCCCAGTGTACTGCCCAATCACCACCAGAAGGATCCCAATGGAAATATTGCCTTCTAGACTTTCGTGGGCTATCCTTGGTGTTTACATCCAATAATTCCAATCACAATGTGTCATGCTAAATATGATCATGATCACATCATGACCATAGGCATCTAACAATTTTTTGTCGAAAAAATTAGGAAATTGTTACACAGGCTTGTTTATTTGTTTGTTTTCATTTCAAATCCATCGTATTAATTAGCACAATACAAGAAACTGCAGGAGGGAATAGAGATGACCAAATTAAGCCTAAAAAAGGGTTTAGTTTTTTTATGTGATTTTACAATTTCCAGTCTTTTTTTAACATGATGCGGAAACCTACTGCGTATGTGTTTTTAGCCTGTATATAGAGCTCCCGATTTTGGTGGGTTCCTTCCGATTTTGCGAGCAATCTCTTACTTTCCCGATTTTAGACTACAGCTGTAGCTACCATAGGCAGTCCTACTGCAGCTACAAGCCTCTTTATCAACTAAAACAAAACTATCATTCAGAATTTCACGATTTTCATGCATCCTTAATTTTCGTGATCGCCGCTTTATAGTGAAAATTAATAGTGTGCGAAAATATAGGGCACAGTAATATAAAAAATGTTACCAGGGAGACTGGATCCACCCATGTAAAGTCCAGGTTACCCTAAACATGAAAAGTAAACTTACTGTAAGAAAATAGAAAAACCGAAACATTCTGATAAGATGTTTCGACTGTCCAACAAAAAGACAAGAGCAAATATAAAAAAAAGTAAAGAATTTAGGAATTTCAGTGTCTAAATTTGAACATAAGAAGTAACTGAATGGAAGTTTTATACAATTGTATTTATGGACCTCACAGCCTTTTGTAAGAACTCCCATTGGTGAAAGAGTCTCGTGAATAAATAAAGATTATTATTATTATTATTATTAAAGCTTTACTTTTAGAATTGGACCCATATTTGATGATTGCTATCAGTATTGTCTGTCAATATTATCTAGTCATTTGATATTAAGGTGAATACAATAACAAGTCATATTCATTTATTGGTAATATCTGATTATTAATTTCCAATATTTGTATTATTGTATTCACACTAATAATTGACTTTAGGGAGCATCCATCATTCAGAGCACAAGGTACTGTATACCAGTGGCATGTCTGGGTCTTGAAATGGTTGGGGGGAGGGGTGGTGGTGGAGGTGGAAGAAGTCTGATGGGTGGGCGTGAAGGAGAGGTAGGGCTCCATGGTTAAGTGTGGGGGAGCTATTTCGCAAATAGTGTGGGGGAGCTTTTTCACAAATAGTGTTGTATGAGGTGATTTCTAACTACTTCAGCATATTTTTATTGACTTCAAAACATTTCCAGGAGGTGGGGTGGAGAGCGATTGACGGTTACAGTGTGTTTACATAATTACGGTAAAGACAAGTCACAATTGATATTAATATAAAACTTTCAATAAAGTAGCCTGCTGTATTATTTACTCTTCCCAAAAGACAGTCAAGAAAATTGAAAGATTATGTTTTTGCACTCCATTGAAAATAGAAAAAAATATCTGACATGGACCCCTTACGATCTTGATAATTTTTTGTCTGACAAGTTGTGTGACTAATATGGCAGACATTATTCTTATAGATTATTGTTATAAAATCAAATTATTCAAAGTACTGCAAAAGTTCAGAGTTAATACATACAATTGTACATTGAAAATACATTCAATTATACATTAACATTAAAAATGCATCCTGTAATAATTATCATTAATGAACACTAAAGGAGGCTTATTAAAATTATGTTTTTTTGTGAATTGATTGATTGATTGATTACTATACTAATACTATATAAGACATATTAAAATATAATTTATGCACTCTAAATAATATTAAGATAAAAAGGCATTTAATTTATGAAAAATAATTTTTGTTCTCTAAATTAAACATCAATATTTTTTTATGTACAGGTATTATGAAATTATAAAAATATAATACCTTTAAGCATACATGTGTCAATTGATGTTTGGATTTCCTATGATTACCGGTATTCATGATTTAATAATGTAGGCCACAGAAATTACCTGAAATAAACTAATTATCGTATTACAAATTAGTAAAATAATTAACACAGTCTTTTCTTGATCAAAATTTTATATTTTAGGCTTGAATGGTTCACTTTGTGTATTTTGTTGTGAAGCTGCATCAAACTTACTTTACATTGAAAGCAACATATTTTTTAGTTCACAAAGAACCATGCGAGTGATGGCAACCTATACAACCGCACAAAACATAAATGGGAAATCAATGATAGCTTATAGATCGACTTTCTAATTTTTTGTGTTATGAATCATGAACCTGCATTTGTTTGTTTGACCTTAAATTGACCTCAAGTTCTGCTATTTTCGCATTACTGTAGAGAAAAGTATAGAGTACAGTATATATATATATATATATATATATATATATATATATAGTGTGTTTTTCTTTGTGTTTTGTTTATACAGTAATTCTTTATTTATTTTACAGTAATTAAACAACACCCCTGTGATCAATAAATGAAAATAATAAAGCATTCCACCATTTTATAACTGGTTCAACATATTTAGGTGAAACTGCTTTTGAAAGTTGGAAGTTATAGCTTTAGGCTAATTATAGAATTGTTACCTTATATCCTAGTGTAAGCCTTTGACAAAAGTCTTCCGTTCGGTGGGGAATTACTGTAGGCACGGGCAGTACACAAGGACACAAGGCTTTCCAAAGAGTGTAGAGTCTGGTGGCACACATGGGGTATGTTGTGGCAAAATGGCTAGTTGTAGCAAAAATTGATATTCAAGTTATTGATATTTTCAGATACCTGAGTATGTGATATTTAAAATGAGAGGGTCATTCATTCAAATTGGATATTTCAAGCCTAAGTTATTGGAAAGTGAAAGTATAGTATTCTTAGAGTCAAGATAAATATGATTTTGAGTTTGCCTTTTAAAGTTAATTGTGCATACATTGTTTAATAGAATGAACTATCAAAATAACATTAAATAAACAATTTGTTGACCACTTCCAGAACTAATACATTTGGGACATGATTAATAAGACATTAAACTGTTGATTTACTGTATAGTGAAAAACAAATTTGAATTTTTAGGCAATTTTTTGAGCTCCCATATTTTATAGCTCATTTACTGGACTGTGCGACAATTTCGCCACGACATGCCTTACATAACCAACAGCTTAGTCTCATCCGAAAATGATGTGCTATTGAAACTTGCATTTCAAACGCTCAGGAATAAAGATTATTATTATTATTATTGAAGCTTTACTTTTAGAATTGGACCCATATTTGATGATTGCTATCAGTATTGTCTGTCAATATTATCTAGTCATTTGATATTAAGGTGAATACAATAACAAGTCATATTCATTTATTGGTAATATCTGATTATTAATTTCCAATATTTGTATTATTGTATTCACACTAATAATTGACTTTAGGGAGCATCCATCATTCAGAGCACAAGGTACTGTATACCAGTGGCATGTCTGGGTCTTGAAATGGTTGGGGGGAGGGGTGGTGGTGGAGGTGGAAGAAGTCTGATGGGTGGGCGTGAAGGAGAGGTAGGGCTCCATGGTTAAGTGTGGGGGAGCTATTTCGCAAATAGTGTGGGGGAGCTTTTTCACAAATAGTGTTGTATGAGGTGATTTCTAACTACTTCAGCATATTTTTATTGACTTCAAAACATTTCCAGGAGGTGGGGTGGAGAGCGATTGACGGTTACAGTGTGTTTACATAATTACGGTAAAAGAAAAGTCACAATTGATATTAATATAAAACTTTCAATAAATTAGCCTGTTCTATTATTTACTCTTCCCAAAAGAGAGTCAAGAAAATTGAAAGACGTATGTTTTTGCACTCCATTGAAAATAGAAAAAAATATCTGACATGGACCCCTTAGGATCTTGATAATTTTTTGTCTGACAAGTTGTGTGACTAATATGGCAGACATTTATTCTTATAGATTATTGTTATAAAATCAAATTATTCAAAGTACTGCAAAAGTTCAGAGTTAATATACAATTGTACATTGAAAATACATTCAACGCATACATTAACATTAAAAATGCATCCTGTAATAATTATCATTAATGAACACTAAAGGAGGCTTATTAAAATTATATGTTT